GAGAGAGAGAGAGAGAGAGAGAGAGAGAGAGAGAGAGAGAGAGAGAGAGAGAGAGAGAGAGAGAGAGAGAGAGAGAGAGAGAGAGAGAGAGAGAGAGAGAGAGAGAGAGAGAGAGAGAGAGAGAGAGAGAGAGAGAGAGAGAGAGAGAGAGAGAGAGAGAGAGAGAGAGAGAGAGAGAGAGAGAGAGAGAGAGAGAGAGAGAGAGAGAGAGAGAGAGAGAGAGAGAGAGAGAGAGAGAGAGAGAGAGAGAGAGAGAGAGAGAGAGAGAGAGAGAGAGAGAGAGAGGAGTTTTGTGCAAAGTGTGAGAGGGTGGGGAGGAGGGATGGTGATGCGATGGGTTTTGGGTGGGCGGAGGAGGCTGCTGCGCAGTAAGGGTTTAAAGTTGTTAGAAGCGGCGGCAAGAAATGAGAAGAAAATCTGTCAACATATATTAATTCTCTCTCTCTCTCTCTCATTGCAGGTGTATATACTCATGGTAGATGAAAAGCAGAGGCTTCTACAGGAAACCCAACACATTATGATATTCTGTAATGCAGAGTCTGGGGTTCTGGCTTGGGCACGGACCAAGTATCCTGTAAACCCAACACATTAATTAAGCATTTGAAATGATTTTGATATATCTTACAACCAAGGTTCAATTAATTCCAGTCTTCCCTATCATATAATTCAAAATTCAAGTTAAACAGAAATTTCAGAGAGTGTAAGACTTTTCTTTGGTCATGAATTCTCCATTCATGAGTAAATTCAAATACCATTTTCCTTTGGGTCTGACTCAAGCATAGATGCAATCACCAAAACCTGCAACACATGATCATGAACACTTCAATGGAGAAATTGATGGTAGGGAGCTTAGGCACTGATTCGAGTAGTTTAGATCATTTAAAAAAAAAAAAAAAAATACTTGCGTAAAGCCGCTCGGCTATACCCTTTTTTTAAAATAAAAAAAAAACGCCCGCGTATAGCCGAACGGCTATACTATTTATAGATTTGTAAAAGGGACCGGCCTAGCGCCGGAGTGAAAACAAGTATAGCCGCGCGGCTATACTCTTTTTATTTAAAAAAGACCGAGTATAGTGCGGCTATACTTTTGACAAAAAAAACAAAGGATAGAGCATAGTGCTCGAGGACAGTATAGCCATGCGGCTACACTATTTGCTATTAAAGAAATGTCGAACTCTTCCTTGAAAATTATAAAAGGCCATATGAGTCCAGGAATAGGGCAAATCACAAAATTGCACCCTCACCACACACACGGAAACACATGGCTGCACATACGAGAGAGAGAGAGAGAGAGAGAGAGAGAGAGAGAGAGAGAGAGGAGTTTTGTGCAAAGTGTGAGAGGGTGGGGAGGAGGGATGGTGATGCGATGGGTTTTGGGTGGGCGGAGGAGGCTGCTGCGCAGTAAGGGTTTAAAGTTGTTAGAAGCAGCGGCAAGAAATGAGAAGAAAATCTGTCAACTTATATTAATTCTCTCTCTCTCTCTCTCTCTCTCTCTCTCTCTCTCTCTCTCTCTCTCTCTCTCTCTCTCTCTCTCTCTCTCTCTCTCTCTCTCTCTCTCTCTCTCTCTCTCTCTCTCTCTCTCTCTCTCTCTCTCTCTCTCTCTCTCTCTCTCTCTCTCTCTCTCTCTCTCTCTCTCTCTCTCTCTCTCTCTCTCTCTCTCTCTCTCTCTCTCTCTCTCTCATTGCAGGTGTATATACTCATGGTAGATGAAAAGCAGAGGCTTCTACAGGAAACCCAACACATTATGATATTCTGTAATGCAGAGTCTGGGGTTCTGGCTTGGGCACGGACCAAGTATCCTGTAAACCCAACACATTAATTAAGCATTTGAAATGATTTTGATATATCTTACAACCAAGGTTCAATTAATTCCAGTCTTCCCTATCATATAATTCAAAATTCAAGTTAAACAGAAATTTCAGAGAGTGTAAGACTTTTCTTTGGTCATGAATTCTCCATTCATGAGTAAATTCAAATACCATTTTCCTTTGGGTCTGACTCAAGCATAGATGCAATCACCAAAACCTGCAACACATGATCATGAACACTTCAATGGAGAAATTGACGGTAGGGAGCTTAAGCACTGATTCGAGTAGTTTAGATCATTTAAAAAATAAAATAAAAATACTTGCGTAAAGCCGCTCGGGTATACCCTTTTTTTTTTTTTTTAAAAAAAAACGCCCGCGTATAGCCAAACGGCTATACTATTTATAGATTTGTAAAAGGGACCGGCCTAGCGCCGGAGTGAAAACAAGTATAGCCGCGCGGCTATACTCTTTTTATTTAAAAAAGACCGAGTATAGTGCGGCTATACTTTTGACAAAAAAAACAAAGGATAGAGCATAGTGCTCGAGGACAGTATAGCCATGCGGCTACACTATTTGCGGCGCTAGGCGGGTCTAGGCGGATCTAGGTGCCAGGGTGGGTCTGGTTCTGTTCTTTTGTTCTTTAAGCCTATTGCCTAGCGATTCTTCTTTGAAGCCGATATTTCAAGCAAGAATTGTATCAGATGCACCACCTTTTGACCCCAGCAATATTGTGTCATTGCAGGCACATTTTCTTCTGCAGCCACTTTCTTTTAGTCTCTTCTTAAAATGACAATTCCATTGGTTTCTTCCCATCTTCTGGTAGTAAGCATTCATGGCAAATGAGGCATGGTGCGCTGGCCTATACGGATCATAGCTAGAACCTCCTTTGTTTGTAGGGTTGCAATCTGCATAGTTACAGGCATAGTCCAGAGCTGACTGCAGTGCTTGTTGTGGTGCTGCAGGCTTTGCCACACACACACCAAGCTTTCTACAACACCATGTATATATGTAAATTAATTGCTAATTAATTTAAGAATTGTTCTTTTTAATTCTTACCCGTCCATTCACCAACATCGAAATCTCCCCTGCAGAAAAAAAAAGAAAGAAAGAAGAAGCCATGGATGAACATAGGTGAAAATGTAGAGAGAGAGCAGAAAAGGGGGAAAGAAATTATAACAATGTGGAATTCTCTATAGAGTTGTTGAAAAAAAAAATCAACTTTGCAGCTTAAGAGTCTACGAATCTCTACCATACCCAAGAAGAAGAACAGAAGCAGGAAAGAAAGAACAGGACCTGGCATAGCTAGCTTAGCCATTGATGTTATGTTATACAAAGTAGTCTAATTTCTATGGTTGACTAATTCATGAAGAGGAAGATGGGATATTTGTAGCAGTGCTGCAGAGGAGGCCACATAATGATCATGCAAGAACAACTGAGTAACAATCTGATATGCTCCATTACAGTCAGATTGCATTTGCACTTTTGGAGCACCTGTTACATACAATAAATTGCTTGCCTCAGCTTCTTTGGTTTGGTTATAACTTACAACTAAGGTTCAATTAAGGGAGCTTTAGTAATATACCCAAAATAGGGACTGAAATTATAAAAAAACCCTACATGAAATGCACTTTAGAAACATACCCAAAAATCATTTACTACATACAAAATGAGTGTTGAATTTCCTATAAATTACATGACTGCCACTAACTAACTTAAAAGAAGCCCAATACAAAAAACACAAAAAAACCCAAAACAAGCCCAATTCAGATTTTTTTTTTTTAAACCAAACCTTTTTTTTTTGGACGGAAAAAAAAAAAGAAAAAGAAAAAACCAAACTTAAGTATTAAAAAAAAAAGCACGAAAACCCAGGGCACCCTTCCTTCTCCATCAAACCTCTACAAACCATGTTATAGAAGTACATTGTTAATACCATATCATAGAAGTGCATTGTTAATACCATTTCATAGAAAAACATTGTTAATACCATTTCAAAACGAAAAAAAAACATTGTTAATACCATTTCATACAAAAAAAAAATCATTATTAATATTAATACCATTTCATACAAATAGAACATTGTTAATACAATTTCATACAAAAAGACATTGTTAATACCATTTCATACAAATAGAACATTGTTAATACAATTTCATACAAAAAACCATTGTTAATACCATTTCATACAAAAAACATTGTTAATATCATTTTATATAAAAAAAACCCAAAAAAGCCCAGCAAGACATCCGATATCATTTGCAGGAACCATCTCCAATTGTCTACAATTTCACCAAGGAAATACCTCTACAAGAAAAAAAAGTACACTGTTAATACTATGTCATAGAACTATCTTCCTAGTAAAAATTACATTCTGCATATCATAAACTTGAAGTGCACAGCTATATATAGAGCAAAATATAGAGCATGCTTTGTTACTGAAAATATGTTAATACTGTGTCATAGAAGTACACTGTTAATACCATGTCATAGAAGTACACTGTTAATACCATGTCATAGAACTATCTTCCTAGTAAAAATTACATTCTGCATATCATAAACTTGAAGTGCACAACTATATATAGAGCAAAATATAGAGCATGCTTTGTTACTGAAAATCTGTTAATACTATGTCATAGAAGTACACTGTTAATACCATGTCATAGAAGTACACTGTTAATACCATGTCATAGAAACCAAACCAAATCAAATCAGATCCGTCCATCAAACTTGTGCAAAATATACTTATGTGAAACAAAACTGTTATTTTCTAAATTTTATTTCTTGGTGACACAGTACCTGTCCAAAATTTGTTCTCTATTTATTACCAAAAATTAAATAAAAAATCAGAACAGAAGAATTTAGTTATAACTGGGTGCAAAATATACTTATGTGAAACAAAACTGTTATTTTCTAAATTTTATTTCTTGGTGACAGTACCTGTCCAAAATTTGTTCTCTATTTATTACCAAAAATTAAATAAAAAATCAGAACAGAAGAATTTAGTTATAACTGCTTTATATCTCACTATCCACAAGCAATTGCTCCAGTGCCTTTGGGAGGTAGGGAAAAACATATGCTCCTAGAGTGTCCACCATGCGGTGTACAAATGATGTTACCTGGATACCACATACACTAGCATCAGGTTACAAGCACAGATGATAAAATATCAAAACAAAGTACTTCTGGTATCCCACACACGACTCCTTACCTTACTGCGCAAAGTCTCTACATCAGGAAACACAACAAGTACTTGTAGGAGAACATCCAATGTCTGGATAACCATGGGAAAAGAAACACATTGTTAAGACATGAAATATTTAGACAGCTTCTCCACAAGTATGGAAAGACTAGTTCCCATCCATATGCCAACAATCACTAATTACAAGGGGCTGTACTTAAAAAGGGAAACAGTAACATCAGAATGTTATAAAACAGCATTGAAATATCAGAGAGCCCACGAGTGCTAATCATAAAGTTCATTAAATAGGCAAACATCAAGGTGTAGAGACAGTGAGTCACAAAAAACAAACAAAAAGGCACACATAAATCCCTATATTCACAATTTTAATTCAGAGAAACAGGCATTCAGAAAAATTAATCAGACCATGTACTTGAAGGAAGGTGAACAAAATAAAGATATAGATACTAACCTGCTTGAACATGAGACCTATTGCAGGGCGACTAGCAGTTACAACTTACAAGACGCTCACTGAAGCCCTGGATGGCATATAAATTTCAGTAGAGTAATTTCATGTATATAAAAACAAATCTCGAAGCATTCAAACATAGTGAATTTTCTGAGACCATACAGCTTACTAAGCAGGACTGGCAGAAGGGGTAAAGGACTCTGAAGACTTTTAATATAAGTGACAAAATAAAAACTCCTCTTTTACCAGATCTTGTAAGCAAATTGATCAAGAGTTTTATAACTTTTTTGGGGGCATATGCCATTTTACATATAAAGAAATCAACCAAGAAACATGTTAACTAGAAGGTCAAAGGATGTTGAAAAACCTTGATGAGAGAATTAATCGCGACGATTATCTACTGAATATTAGCAAATTTTTGAGGTGCCTCTTTAGGAGTCAATACTTTGGCATTCCTGAGCAATGCTTCAACCTAGACAGTAGGAAGACCACGTCAAATGCTTATCCCACATTCTCTATTAAGAATACTTCCTTTCTTTCCTAAACACACTCATGAGCGCACATAAAAGGTATAATACCAGATGTCAAAAAATATTAAGTGAATACCTCAAAAATATGACTACCATCTTCAGATCCCGGAAGCTCTTTCGATGTATAATCCATACTTGTAAATCCAACGATTGTATCTTGCAAACTCTGTAAAATTCATTTAAATTAATTTAAAACCCTGTAAACTCTGTGAAAAAAAATGGTAATATGTATAAAGCAATTCAAATGAGATAAAAGTAAAAGGCGAAAGCAAATTAATGAGGTCTGGAGGAACTGAAATGTAAGTACGTGGATATATAGGAATGTAGCAGCCAACTATGATTACCCGGCATATATTCTGTTGTACAACCGAGGCACACTACAAAATAATGTAGGTCTCAGTGTTACGACCGTCGAGGTTCTGGTCGTTCATGCCTTCGATCGCGTCCCTCATGGCCTTCTCGTTGCTGAAGGTGACGAAGCCGAAGCCGAAGCCCCTGGACCTCCCGGTCTCACGATCGTTGATGATCTGGAAACACAAAAAGAAACCAAATCAAATCAGATCCGTCCACCAAAACCAAAACACCTGAGTATAATCAAACAAATACACAATAATAGACAAAAATGAAAAGGAATCGATCGATCTTCAATCTTTGGGAGAGAAAGATCAAGTAACATAGAGAAACAGAAGATCAAGTAGTGCGTCAAACGGCCCTTCAATTCGATGATCTCACCGAACTGAGAAAAGGCCCTCTCCAGCGCATCATTGTCGGTGGCCCAGGCGAGCCCTCCGACAAAGCTTAGAATGATGAGGTTGAACAAAAACTGGTGGAAGAACAAAAACTGAAAATTGGGGTTGAAGATGAAGATGAGAGACTGGAGGTCGTGAAATGAGTTCTGATCTGGTGTTGATTAGAATTCCAATTTTACGTTAAAAGGGTAAAAAGGTATTTCATCTTAATAATTAAATTAAAAAATATACAGCTGTCGATTTTTGGGTTTATTTTGGGTGTGTTTATATACATTAAATAATATAGGGTATTTTTATAGTTTTATGTCTAGAAATGGGTATTTTACTAATTTTCTATAAAAAGAATAGAACCTAAATAAAAAATAAAATAAGTGAAAAGACGACACAAATGTTGTTAAAATTTCACGGAGACAAATGATATTGATAACCGAGGGGTTTACCTCAGTGGTGAGGTCCCTCCCTCCTCCCCCACCACTTGGTCACTTGTTCGAATCCCAGGATGCAACCAAGGAGAAAGGTTTGTGTTTTTGTTTTTGGTCGGTAAAGGATAATTCATTCAAAAAACGCCACAACAGGGCAAATAAGCTTTACAAAAGGAGAAATATCAACTGGTAGCTCTACCTCTACGCCCCAGCAAGGATACCTCCCAACAAAATAGGAGACCATCAGAAACCAAAGACAGAGGTGGCTGATCAGCCCAACTTTCCAGTTCCGCTTCTCTCATACATGTCGAAGCCGCAACTTGAGTATATTTGGTCCCACATTAGCATGGCAAGAATGTTTGTCATAAAACAGAGGTTGTTTTTAGTAATAAGCTTTATTGGCCTTCTTCAACTAGAAAGTGTTTAGTGTCTAGTGTTTAGGCTTATTGGCCTCCTTCCTATTTCTGGCTTATTGGCCTTTATCACTAGCTTGATTACAAACAGAAAGCTTAATGCCTATTTGTAGAGGGAACAAACCAAGTAGTCAAGTCGGTTATTCTAGTAAACCGACATTAACTTGTAATTCCAGCCACATATTTTAGCTTCAATTAAGTTAGTGACTTGTGTTTAAGGAATACATCCACCGACTTTGCATTCTAAATTATTCTAGAAAATTCTGCTAGCTTGTAGAAGTCTCCACCAAACAGGCCCGACCCTGACCAGGGGCAGTCAGTGCGACTGCCCTGGGCCCATTATTCAGGGGGGCCCAATTTTTTTATATTTTTATAAGTGTTATATTATATATTATAAATTGATTTAATATTTTTGAGGGAACAAAATGGTGTTCGCGTTCTGGAAGAAGCGCATCTCTTCCGCTCCTCAAGAACCCTTTTGCGCTGGTGTTCCACTCCTCCAGGTTATCTATTCTAAAAATTTCTTCTTCTTGTTCTTGTTTTTCCTCTTCTTCTCTTCTCATCTCATCTCATCTCATCTAAGCCTCTCCTAAGTTCATTTATGTTTCACTCTTCAGTTTCGTCCTCTGCAAAAAATAACCATGGGCGATTTAACCATGGGTGATTTGCTTTTTTTTTTTCCTATCGCTCTTTTTCTCTATCGATTCCTCTTCTATGTCATTTAAATCATGGGGTTTTCTTGGATTGATTCATTCAAATTCTTTGAATCACTAATAGATGTACTATTCTGGGGTTTTCTTTTCAAATAGAAACCTTGCTTTACTGTTGGAATTGTTCTTCTGCGAAAATAACATGGATGATTTCCTTTTTTTCTTTTTTTCGATTTTTCTTGTAAGATGAATCACAATTAAATACACATTGTTTTCCATAATTTAGGAATAGGATATTGAAATGGATCTGAAATTTGGGAACAAAGGATCCATGATGAGAGTTTTAAAAGAAATTCTTTGATATTGGCTTGACTTGCATTCTTGAAATTTTGGAACAAAGGATCCATGATGAGAGTTTAGGAATATGAAAGACATTGCTCAAAGTCTAAAAATATCTTGGAATAAATACTTTCTCAAAAAAACCAATGCTTAGTTGATAAAACAGTTGATAAACCAATGGAATAAATACTGTCTAAAAAAAGTATACTAGTGTTAGTGTTAGTGATTAATGTGTGTAGGGCACACTTTAGAATTTCGCCCTGGGCCTTTGAAAACTCAGGACCGGCCCTGCCACCAAATGTGCATTATTTTTCAACAACTTATAAACTGGTTCAAGACTTTTCAGCCTTAATGACTTCAGAGTGATAAACACGAAATAAACTACTTGTAGAATATGTTCTGATCGAAGACGATAAACTTGACTTCAAGTCATTACATTAATGGAAGAGGGTCCATGCATATGGACGCTACTCCACGGACAAGAATGTGACAACTAATTGCTAGATTGGACTTAATAGCTTGACTTCAAGTTAGAGAGCCACATGCAGACAGACTCTGATTGAAACAATTCCACCCAGAGAAAGATTGATGAACCTGGCAGACGACTTGACTTCAAGTCGTCTTTAAGTGAATACGATCGGCTGATTTTACTCGAGCAATTTCTGTTCACCTATAACTTGACTTCAAACTTTGCATGAGTTGTGTCTATAAAAGTAGTTTAATTTCTCCTATGTGAGAGCCATAACATACATACATACATAATTGATCAGAAATGATAATTTCCATGGCAATGGAATCGCGGTGGCCAAAGTTTATTTCTGTACGCTCTCTTATTTTGCTATTACTCATTGCTACTCACTATTTCTCATTTGTGAAGACAGTACAGGCAGTTGGCCGCGTTGAGGAGTGCTCTGCCTTGTGGCTGTTCAAGCGAAGCTTTTCGATTGACGAGTCTGCTTCTGGGGAACCTTTGTCTTGTGCAAAGGTTGCATCTTGGACTCAACATGGTGGAGAAAGGAGTAACTGTTGTTCATGGGACGGTGTCGAGTGCGATGAGGACTCTGGCCATGTTATTGGTCTTGACCTCCGAAGCAGCTGTCTTTATGGTTCCATCAACTCCAACAGCACTCTCTTCCACCTTGTTCACTTGCAGAAGCTTGACCTTTCAGATAATTACTTCGATTGGTCTGAAATACCATCAAGATTGGGCCATGATCTGACGAGTTTAACATATCTCAACCTTTCATATTCAGCCTTTTTCGGCCAAATTCCGTCAGAAATTTCGAAGCTATCCAAGTTGTCTACTCTTGATCTCTCTTCTTATAGTAGCCATTTAAAATGGACAAAGAGAAACCTGAGAAGCCTCGTTCAAAACTTGACCAACATAAAAAAGCTTCATCTTAGAGAGGTAGACATATACTCCACTGTGCCTGATATCTTGGTAAATGCATCTTCTCTTACATCTCTTCAACTTGACAATTGTGGGTTGTATGGGGAATTCCCAGTTGGCATTTTCCATCTACCAAACTTAGAGGTTCTTTATGTGAGATCTAACTCAGACCTAACAGGCTATTTTCCCACCTTTAACAAGAGCAATGTTTTCAAGAAATTGGATGTTACCGGCACGAATTTCTCTGGCCAACTGCCTACCTCCCTCGGAAACCTTCATTCCTTGATTGTGTTTGCCATCTCATCGTGCAATTTTCATCCCAATGTTCCATCTTCAATCGGAAACCTTACCCAACTCAGTTACCTTTCCATGTATTCATTTAATGACGTTTCCAAAGGCAAGCTATCTGTTTCTTTTTCTTGGGTTGGAAAACTAACCAAACTCTACCACTTGTCTTCTCTTACATCTCTCCAACTTGACAATTGTGGGTTGTATGGGGAATTCCCAGTTGGCATTTTCCATCTACCAAACTTAGAGGTTCTTTATGTGAGATCTAACTCAGACCTAACAGGCTATTTTCCCACCTTTAACAAGAGCAATGTTTTCAAGAAATTGGATGTTACCGGCACGAATTTCTCTGGCCAACTGCCTACCTCCCTCGGAAACCTTCATTCCTTGATTTTGTTTGCCATCTCATGGTGTAATTTTCATCCCAATGTTCCATCTTCAATCGGAGACCTTACCCAACTTAGTTACCTTGACATGTCTTCATTTAATGACGTTTCCAAAGGCGAGCTATCTGTTTCTTTTTCTTGGGTTGGAAAACTAACCAAACTCTACCACTTGGACCTTGGAGATACCAACATAGAGGGAGAATTCCCATCTTTTGTGTCTAACCTGACACAACTTGAATTTCTAAACTTGGCCGCTAATGCAATATCAGGTCAAATCCCATCTTGGCTTATGAAGTTCACCCAGTTAACCTCTCTAAGCCTTGGTGATAACAATTTGCAAGGACCAATTCCTAGGTCGCTCTTCCAACTCAAAAATCTTGAATATCTTCTTCTTTCCGGTAATAACTTGAGTGGGTTGGTTGAGTTTGATCAGTTTTCCAAGCTCAAAAAGTTGAAGGGCCTTGAATTATCGAACAACATGTTATCTGTGGAGATCAGAAATGATTTGAGTGCTACTCTTCCAAAGCTTCAAACTCTAGCACTGGGCTTCTGCAACTTAACAGAGTTTCCAAAATTTTTGAAGAATCAATCCGAATTGACTGAGTTAGACCTTTCTGGCAACTATATTCACGGCCCAATACCGAAATGGGTCTGGAATGCAACTATTGAAACTTTGTTGGACCTCCGTCTCTATGACAACTCTTTGACAGGATTTGACCAATATCCAGGCATTCTCCCATGGACAAATCTGATCTTTCTGACTCTTGGGTTTAACAAGTTACAAGGTCCTCTGCCAATTCCACCGCAATCAATCAGATTTTATGCTGTAGAAAACAACGAATATACTGGAGAAATTTCACCTCTGTTCTGCAACTTCAATAATCTCCAAGTTCTCAAGTTGTCCAACAACAACCTCAGTGGCATGCTTCCACAATGTTTGGGTAACTCTAGTGTTTTGGAAATATTGGCCCTGCATAACAATTTTTTAAAGGGATATATTCCTCCAATATGTCCAAGCAAAACTAGTCTGAGAATTGTTGATTTTAGTTATAATCAGTTGCAGGGGAAGCTACCAAGAGGGGTGATGAATTGTACTCAGTTAAAGGTTCTTAATTTTGCAAACAATCAGATGAGTGACATCTTCCCATCTTGGTTAGGGGCACTTCCAGAATTAAGGATTCTCATTTTGCGGTCTAATGGATTTCATGGCGTAATTGGGAAGCCTGCAACTAAACATGAGTTCCCAAAGTTGCGCATCATTGACTTATCTAACAATGGTTTCTCAGGTATGTTGCCCTCTAATTACTTAGAGAACTGGAATTCCATGAAATATGTTGACGAAAACCAGCGAACTTATTTTTACGTATATACGGATGTCGTCGATGGACATTACTTTTATTATCATTACGCAATGACAATACGTGGCAAAGGTGTTGAGTTGAAATATGAAAAGACCCCTTATCTTCTCACACTCATAGATCTGTCAAGTAATAGATTTGAAGGAGAGATTCCAGAAGGTCCCGTTGGGAACCTAAGAGGCCTTGTTTTGCTGAACCTTTCCAACAACTCTCTCACTGGTCACATCCCCTCATCTTTAGGGGACTTGGCTGCTCTCGAATCGTTAGATCTCTCCCAGAACCAGCTCTCAGGAAGGATCCCGAGTAATTTAGCACAACTCACTTTCCTTGCATATTTTAATGTATCCCATAACCATCTCTCCGGGCCTATACCACTTGGCGAACAATTCGATACATTCCAGGAGGACTCGTACGAAGGAAACTCAGGTCTGTGTGGAAAGTCTCTGCCAAAGAAATGTGAAGATTCTGAGAGCTCAAAGCTGCCACCACCATCAATCGTGGGAGAAGAAGAAGACTCTGTATTTCAAATTGCACTAGATTGGTACGTGGTTTTGCCAGGAGTTGTTAGTGGTCTGATTGTTGGAGTGGTTGTTGGGAACATATGGACAACAAAGAAGCATGAATGGTTTGTGGAGACGTTTAGCAGGAGGAGGAAGCCAAGAGGCACAAGGGCTAGGAGGGGACGCAGAACTTAGCCCAAGGCCATGTATCTGTGTTTATGTATGCATGTTTGGTGTGTCCATAAGGGAAGTATTTGAGCCTTCAAAGAATATTATGTTGTGGTGGTGTGAGGTTTCGTGGTACCAATTGTGTAGTATATTTTGCATATGTGGTGGTGTAAGTTATTTGTAGATGTTCAATAATATATTTGTAATGTATTTCTCAACGAGTACTCAAATATGTGGTGGTGTTGAGTCTTGCGCTGTAATTTTCCTATTTGGTTATTAGTTTTAATTGAAAATTAAATTTGACATGTTTTGCATAAATTTGTTTCGTATTGGATTGGGAGTTGAAGTTTGGGTTGAGTGCAAATCCCAGACAAAATTGCTACTGAATTTAAGTTCTCAGAAAAGACTGTAACGACTTTTGAATGGTTAGCCTTAATGACGCGTCACAAAGATGTGCTTGGCTGAAAGTCTACATGCAGACAGACTCTGAGCAAACGACTTGACTTCAAGCAATTTCTGTTCACCTTCTCCGCATGTGTCTTAATTATGTAATCTATCAGAAATGATATAGTTGCCTTGAGAATGGAATCGCGGTGGTCAAAGTTTATTTCTGTACGTTATTTGATTTTGCTATTATTCATTGCTACTTACTGTATTTTATCTATTTTGCCTCAGACACTTGGCCAGGTTGATGAGTGCTTTGCCTTGTTAGGCCATCCCTAATGTTTGAGGCTCTAAATACGGTGAATAGAGTCCCATTTAGAGCTCCGATAGAATATTACGGGCTCTAAAGGTATCTTTCTCACAATGGGGGGCTTTATAAGTTTTTCTTTTATGATGTAATTTATTCTACGCATTAATTTTTGTTGTTGTTAACTTATTTTGTTTTAATGTATGTTTCTGTTATATTAGTTTTTTTTACGAGCATTTCTACCAAAATAAAATAAAATTTGGAAAAGATTAAAAAGACAAAATTTGAAAGTAAACATAATAAAATATAAAGTCCTAATGTTTCAAATTTGTACTTAAAAAAAGGAAGCATATTTAAATCTAGAAACATATATAGAACAATTCAAGTATGTCCATGAAAGAAAAAAAAATGAAAGCAAAGAGGAAAAAAAAAAAAAA